AAAAGGCCTTCTGCACGCATATTACAAGTTAAACTCACAGAACTCTCTGCACCCCCTATAGAGTGGCCAAGGACGCCTCTGACATTATTCTGATGGATGACAACTTCAACTCAATTGTGAAAGCCGTAATGTGGGGCCGCAATGTGTACGACAGTGTCTCCAAATTCCTGCAGGTATGTATAGTATATTTATCGGTCGCGTACGTAAATATCAAGTGTTTGCAGCTGGTGAGTACAGTACATCTATATCTGATGCAAACGTATTCTAGTACGTAAATAAGCGGGTTTCCTGCAGGCAAGTGCGGCCTGGTCATGGCTGATATAAACGTATACATACAGTACCAGAATAGTGATGGATAACTCGGAGGAGTGCAACGCATACCTGGCCATTCTGGAAGTATATGATGTGTATATGTACACAAACAGGGTTGTTGTCTACAGGCGAAGTGAACGCGTGCGTGTGCGTATCTAGACCATGTAGCGCATGACCTACTGCATTCTCCCGGGCCAGTCCTTCGCAAAGAACGATAGTGTCATTCTCAGCATTTACATATCGCCAGGGTGTTTCACCTGAAGGTGTACGTATATTGGCCAAACATCTGTGCCTCCCTGGGACCGGTCCTAATTATCGCAAATCTGTCCACCACCCACGCACCCCTGTCTAACCCCTCGGCACAGGCACGTCTGTGCAGGCTTCATTCGTCGTATAATCATGCCCCTGTATCGCTCTCTCATCTACCTACCTACCCAGTTTCAACTGACCGTGAACGTAGTAGCCATCCTCCATTTGTCGTATCCTCATGCCCCTGTATCCCTCTCTCATCTGCCTACCCACCCAGTTCCAACTGACCGTGAACGTAGTAGCCATCCTCCTGGCCTTTCTGGGCGCATGCATCATCAACGAATCGCCTATCACGTCCATACAAATGTTGTGGATCAATCTGATCATGGACACCTTAGCCTCCCTGGCACTGGCCACAGACTCCCCCACCCCAGATTTACTGAAGCGGAAACCATACGGACGTAACAAGGTGTGGTGTGGGCTGGCAGCTGTAGAATGTGCGGGCGCAGGTGTATTTGTATGTGTGTTTGTGTACAGAAGGTGTGTATGTACGCTTGTGCCCGTGTGCACGTGTGCACCTCTGTGTATGTGCTGTGAACTGCGCTACTTATGGTCAACGTATACATAAATGGTCCTGTATATATAATCCCCATATACCTCGGATATCCACACATACTAAAAGCGTACACACCTTCTCAACAGGCAGTACATAGCAATCGAATGCTCCAGTACTTGTACGCATAAACGTATACGTAAATAGTCCTGTATATATAGTCCTCACATACGTCGTATATCCACACATACTAAAACGTACACACCTTCTCAACAGGCTGTACTTAGTGGGCAAATGCTTCAGTTCATCTTCGGCCATGCCCTCTACCAGTGTGCCGTGGTGTTTGGCATTATCTTCTATGGACCTCAGGTAGGGTTGTCTGGGTTATTACGGTTGATGTGGTTTCATGGGTGTTAGGGCTATCTGGGTTATTGTAGGGTTTTAGGGGTTATCTGGGTTCGTGGGTTTTAGGGTTAGAGTTCATTCAGTCTTTGTCTGCATGTTGGATATATCTTCACATGTACATGGGCGGAGGAGTATTTCAGTTGTTTGAATCCCATCACTGCTAGTACGTCTAGTACCTCTGTGCGCGTATTATACACACACTTCTTAGTTTCAGGGTTTGTATATGCGTACCGATACGATACAATACAGATCTTGATTTTCACTCCCGCAGCGCCAACGGACGGGCTCGATCATATTCCATATATAAA